CTAAAAATATATATATCGAAGCGAACTCCCACAGTGAATTTTATTTTAACTAAATCATATAACAGTAATAAGATCAAAATAGACTTCACCCGTTGCAACACACTGGTATTTTTTCTAGTAAAACAAAAGCCAAATCTCGACAAATTTTGGCACAACGAGCCGACTTTCTTTTTCCGTTTTGCATGACATTTGCACTGTTATACGAGAACGGTAGTTGGGTATTACAGAAAACTGCTAGGTGATAGTAGTAGCCACAAGTTGAGCAGAGGCATGATATATTCAACCTGGTGTTGAACCAACACCAGAAAAGTTCAGAGAACTGCAAGCCTAACAACTAAATTTTCTTAAAGAGTAAATTGCATCCACGGTACAAAAACTTGGCAGGTGGGTGTGATATAGTACAAGAACTTGAGAATTGAACATCCGAGTGCAACAACTTGACAAGTGGATGCGTTCTGATACAAGAACTTGACAATTTAGTATTTTGATGAATCAATTTGGCTAAGCATATGCTAGGTGAGATTTTTCACGATGTCAATATGCCAATACAAAGTAATCCTACGGATATTATCTTATAATATTGAATTTAATCTTTAAGAAATATATTACACATAAAATTATATTCAGTTACCTTTAAGAATTTTTTGTTTTCTTCACCTTCTCAAATGTCAACCGAAATATAATAATTCGTTTAATTGACTTTCAGTTATTAGTTATTAGGATAAAAATATAAATATGTTTATACAAATCCACGCTAGTATATTGTCAAAATACATACTTAAAAATTTTAATCCACCTGTTAAGTTGTTGCACCGTGGGTGCAATTTACTCTTTCTTAAATTCTATAGAGAGAAAGTCATTCGGACCAAAAGAAAAACAGCACGCGAGCTTATGGACAAAATTTTAGAACAAATGTGTCCTAGCTAGGAATCCCTTTAAACAGCTCTGTTCATTCAGGACACAAATATGTCCCCAAAAGCAAACAGATGTGAACAGCTATTGTTGGCTTGAATCAGAACATACAGGCTCCAATAAACAACACCCCCCCCCCTCCTCTCTTTGTGCAGAGGAGGACGGTTTGGTCTTTGCCTATGTGAGTGGGTTAATTAGCAGACCACTGTGTAGTGTAGGAATTTTTTTTTTGAGAATTTAGATCTTTATTGAACTTAGAAGCATAATACATCAACCAAAGATACATTCTCCATAAAAGGAGAAGATTCCAAAGCTGTCTTAGTCGGACAGTCAGAATGAGAACATAAGTGGGAAATATTTTGACAAACTATTTGATTCAGATTTTGCCTAGATTTATTCCTGGCTTTTTTGGCCAGAAAGTCAGCCATCTTATTAACTTGTCTTGAAATCCATTTGATGTTGAGAGCCTGTGTTCCTGCAAGGGAAATAAGATCTGAAAGTAAAGGGTTTAAGCTCCAATGATGATCCTGAGAATAGTAGTCTTGAACCTGCAAAAGGCTAACTAGTTCCTGATTGTCTGAAAGAAGAGTAACATCAATAATATTTTACTTTTGACAAATCAAGATGGCTGTCATGATTGCTGCAAGCTCAGCTTGTAAAGACGAGGAGAAGAAATTAGAAGCAGCTTGAATAAAAAGAGCTTTATGAGTATCAGAGTTATGGATGAAGATTCCAATACCAGTATTACCATCTTTCCAGGAGACATCAGTATAACAACGAATTACTGAAGCAGAATTGAGAGAAGCCCGGTTGTTAGCATCATGATTTTGAGATTTATGATCTTCATCAATAATATCAAGACAGGAAACAAAGTTTGAAGACATGATTTGAGTTGCAAAATTAACCTGTATGGGTTCCCAGATTTTCTTTTTAAAGTAGAAGTCATTTCTAGCTTTCCAAATCATCCAAAGAAGAATAGAAGCTTTTTGTAGGCTTAATTCAGAGTTGTTTGTAGCTAAAACATAGGCTAAGATATCACAGACCTTTTGCATGGAGGCAATGATGGTTGTATCTAGATGAAACTCAGACAGTTTCCAAACCAGATTTACAAAAGCACATTGAAAAAACAGATGAGCACATGATTCAGATAAACCACAATGAGAGCAGGAGTCTGAAATAGTAGGGATTCTGAAGTTCAAATTTTTTGCAGTTGCAAGAGCATTTATAAGAAGTCTCCAAATAAAGGTTTTAACTTTTGTAGGAATAAATTTGCATTTCCAAGTTTTCTTTAAAAGGTTTAATTGCAGATTTGAAATATTAGCAGAAGATAGCATAGAGTTGGTTGATAAGACTTTATAAGCACTTTGAGAAGTACAAATACCTTTTGAGTTATGAATCCAGTAAAGTTTGTCATCAGCATTAGAATACACAATATGAGTTTTTAAAATTTCATTTGAAACTTGAGGATCAAAGATCTGAGACACTTTGGAAATATCCCATTCTTTCCTATCATTCCAGAGATGAGAAACTTTTGTAGGTAAATGAAGAGCCATTGCAGAATCAGTAATATGATTAGGAAGGGATTTCCAAACAGAACACCAAGGTTGATTCCAGATTGAGATATCACCTTGAGAAAGTTGCCAGATGATAGAATTATCCAAAAGATGTCTAATTTTCAGAATAGAACTCCAAAAAGCAGATTTAGGAGTTTTTGTTGAAGCTTTCCAAAAGGATCCATGAGGGAAATACTTTTCTTTTAGGATCTTAGAAACTAAGTTATTTGGATTTTCAAGAATTCTCCAAGCACACTGAATAAGCAGACTTTTATTAACAGTTAGCAAATCTCTGATTCCCAAACCTCCTTGATCAAAAGGTTTACAAATGTCAAACCAAGATTTCCAACAAATACGTTTTTTACTGTCTTCATCATTGTTACCTGTCCACCAGAATTTCCTGATAATATCAGTTAATTTATTTAGAAGTTTCTTGGAGTGTAAAATGGTAGACATATAGTAAACAGGGATGGAAGCAAAAACAGATTTTATTAAAGAAAGTCTACCAGCATGAGATAAAGTTTTTGCTTTAATAATTGACAGCCTGGTTTTGAATTTTTCAATGATAAAGTTGTAAGCAGAGTTTCTGGCTTTAGTATTCAGAATGAGAGGATGACCAAGATGTTTGGAAGTATTGTTCATTAAGGAGACAGGGAAAATGGATAAAATATCTTGAGTGTCATTGATGGGAGTATGCGAGCTGAACAGAATAGAAGATTTATTCCAACTTAGAGTTTGCCCTGATTGATTGCAAAAAACTTGAATGATTTGGAAGATGCTTCTAGCTTCTTCAGGAGTGGCTTGACCTACAATCATAAGATCGTCAGCATACATTAAAGAGTGAATAATGGTACCATTTGGAGTTAAAGAAGCTCCTTTGACTTGACCTGTTTGAATAGCATTTGATAGCATTTCAAAGAGTTCATTTAATGCAAGAACAAATAAATAAGGAGATAAAAGGACAACCTTGTCGTATTCCTCTTTGAGCTGAAAAGTGACCATATGACTGGCCGTTAAGATTGACAGAGAAGTTTGCCGAATTAATGCAAGCAAGGACAAGATTTATAAAATGACCTTGAAACCCTTTACAATGAAGAGCCTTCTCAATAAAGTTCCATTCTAGACGATCAAAGGCTTTTGCAAGATCAAGTTTCAGCAAAAAAGCATTTTGCTTAAAAGATTTTAAATTAAAAGAGTGAACTATTTCTTGGGCAATAATAAGATTATTTGCAATGCGACGACCTTTTATAAAAGCTTGTTGAGAGTCTGAAATTAAATAAGGAAGAACGCTTTTGGTGTGATAGCCAAAGATTTAGAAATGATTTTATAAGAAACATTGCAAAGACTGATTGGCCTAAAATCAGCAGGAGAAGTAGGACAATTTTTTTTAGGAATAAGAGTAATATTAGTATCATTCATACCTTTTGGAAATTGGCCTGAAACATAAAAGTTTTGAACCATTTGAGTGATGTCAGATTTAATCCAAGGCCAAGTAGCTCTATAAAAACCAACATTATATAAGGCCATCAGGTCCAGAAGAAGCATCTTTTTTCATACCTTTAAGAATATTAAGGATTTGATCTTTAGTTGGAGGTGAAGGATCTTCTTGCTGAGTAGTGTTCAGGCTTGTTTCTTCATTCATGGATTGAGTAAATTCTGAATTACTATAAGAGAACAGATTAGTGAAGTAGTTAATAAAAATGGAAGCAATTTCATCCGGATTATGAGTCCAACCATTATCTGTCAAAATAGCAGCAATTTTGTTTTTCCTTCTTTTATGAATAGCTTGCTGAAAAAAGGAAGTATTTCTGTCTCCTTTTTGAATCCAGTGCTTTTTTGCTCTTTGTTTGTAGAAATCAGAAAGTTTACCCATGAGAGCATCATGAAGTTGCTCCAAATTTTTTTTCTTCCAAAAGCAAAAAAGGTCTGTTGGGAGAGCTTTGAATCTGCAAAATCTGACTTTCTACTTGCTGAATTTGATGTTGTAAAGGTTTTTTATTTTTTGCCCAACATAATAAATGTTTTCCTAAATGCACAGCTTTATTTTGAAAGTTGTCATTTTTAAAGAACCAGCCCTTCTTAGCTTTAGAATCAAAGTCTTTTTCTGAAAGCCACCAGTTTTCAAATTTGAAATTCTTTTTTGGTTTTCAATGAGTAGGATTAAGGATAGCAATAATAGGAGCATGATCACTATAAAGCTGTGTAGTGTAGGATCGAGTATCCTTTCTCGATCCCTTCCCCCACACTAATCCCAACCATTAGAAAATTAATGATAAACTGGAAACAGTACTCGGTGTGAACTCGATCGCGCTGAGGTAGGGTAGGCAGCAAGGATCGGCTAGTCATTATCAAGGGCCAGATACTTGTATCGTACTGATCCAGATCGCATATACAGTATAGGTACTAGCTAGTGATTTTGTATGCATAACTATACAAAGATTTATACTAAACAGACAATTGATTATATATAATACAAGTGCAAGAGCACATGGCTAATGCATCTTTATTTATTTATATATACACAAACCATGGATGTACGTACCAACAAATACAATATAAGGTACGAGTACGTACGGTACGTATGCAAATAGTAGAGTATATAGTTACACACATACAGTACAAGGGACATTGATACAGTACAATACAATACTCCAGTACACAGCATGTGATATATGTATGCAATGATGGTGTAAGAGTGTAACTAGATGAGACCGTGGGTGTAGTTGATCTGCTCGCCGTTGACCAAGTTGGGCAACCACTGGTTACCGTTGATGAAGTGATCAACGGTGAAACGGTTGGCCTCCGCCTCGGTGATCACCCGGACGCCCTTCCACTTCACACGGTCGGCCGTCTCTGCCCCAGCGCCTTTGTTGCCATACTCCAGGTACTCCACTGTCCTGGTCGTCTCCTCCACAGGTGTTGCCTTGTTCCAGTGAACCCAGCCGTCAGGGTTGATGATGTCGCTCATGAAACAGCCCATGAAAACCACCCTGGAATGGTTCTTCCAGGGCCTCCCCAGATAGGTATCCACCCCCGCGAGGCTTTCTCCTTCCATGGCGGTGATGTTGCAACCTTGGAATATAAACCCCGACTCCTCGCTGGTTGGGTCGTTGCGCCCCTGCGCCGTGATTGCGTTGTGCTTGCCGTTGCCCGGGTTGCGCACCAGTAAGCGGCAATACTGGAAAATGGCCTTCGCATTACCGTACACAAAATCAATTGTGCCGGCGATGTCGCACCGCAGATACACCTGCAGGTTGTTTTGGGCCCAAAGTGTGTCTTGGTACCCGTCGATGCGGCAGCGGTGAATAAGGGACATGTTGGAGTCGCAGCGCAGAGCGACGGCTGGAGTACCGGTCGGACCCGCCTTGTTCTCTATTGTCACGTCCTGAGCTATAAATCCATGCCCTTGCACAGCTACATACACATATACATATATACAGACAGGCACGCGCATGCAAAATTAGTATAGTAATAAATAAAATTACCAAATTAAGTCGATCGATCTCTTTATACTCCTAGCTAGCTTTTCAATTAGCTGATCGATTTGATTCGATACATATACTAGCTAGCTAGTAGATCGAGTCGCCAAACGCATAAATTCTTTTTATTTTAATCTTGTATATATGTTATATAATTATTTTTTTCTCCTTCCATTCCAAAATAAAATGTTATTAGGTGCTTTTTTTATGGAAGTAAAACAATTGGAATATTTAACAAATCACCAAGCTAATAATATCTTTTAATGCCATGCATGTCTATCATTATATATATGTTAATATTTGAAAATATATAGTTTAGTAATGTATGATGTGTTGATATTATAACCCTTTATTAATTAATATATGTTTTCTTAAGAAAAAACGATCACATATATACCATATGTGTAAAAAACATATAGGAGCCCTTGTAATTTGGGACGGTGGGTGTGAATTATACTAGTCCGTAGCTTAGACCTAAGCTTTATTAACATATAGGAGCATATATATATATAGATTAAAATAAAAGTCTACGCTAGCTAATTCGTCTACGGTCTACCAGTGGCGGGATGATACCAAAATGAGTATGCAGTTGAGTATGTATATAAAGGAGTAGTATATATGCACTTACTGACTGTGGCCGTCCAAGGCATCATGTCGGTCTTGGTCTTATTATTTTCTATGGGGCAAGAGCGGCTTCCAGTAATCACGGTTTTGCCGATGCCCTCTCCCCAAAGCACAACATTTGGTCTGGTAATATTTACCGTTTCCTCGTAAACCCCTGCTTTCACAAAGATGCCGAACCTGCCTCTCGGCGGCGCTGCGCCCAAGGCTTGGGTGATCGTCGTGAAATTGGCCGTGCCGTCCTTCGCTACGACCACGGTCTTCCTCATCCGCTTGCCGTCCACCATCCCATCGATGAGCAGGAGCCTCCTCCGTACCCAGCGGTCGTCGGTGCTGACGACCGTCGCGTCGCCGAGAATGCTCGACGACGACGACCGTACAGCCGCAGCAACGATCAACAAATTAAAACCATATATCATCATCATATTGCTCCTCCTTTCAGCCATTGTACTAGCTAGTTTTTGTGTGTGCGACCGATCGATTCACTTGGTTTTTGCCTGCTCGATCAATTTCCTGGAGTAACTGTATCTGTATGTGTGTATATATATACACTCGATCATATGCCCGCCCGCTGGGACTTGCGCGCATGTGCTACCAAGCCTGACCTACTACACCAATCTAGGAGTAGATATATAGATTCTCTGATTGTCTGTCTTGCTAAATCGATCGATCGATTCAACCTACTAGGCTAGCTACTTGTCTATAGCCAGCTACAAGATTTTTATTCCTGTTGATAGCTCTCTTTCTGCTGCTAACTCTCTAATTAATATAATCCTTTAACTTACGTCCGTCATCAATAATCAGTCCAGCCTTCACGTGCATATATGTACACATCATCGCCCTCTCTTAATTACTCTTGAAAGGAAATTTCTCTATCTCTACCTCTCTCCATACAAATGAAACTTCTTTTGGAAGCGCACGCATATGCGTGGAATATGGATTTGGTCCAAAAATACTACTCCCGATCCGTTCTATATATTTTAAATCATTTGAAATTTTTTCTAGTCAAACTTTATTGACCAAATTTATATAAAAATCTAACAACATCTAAAATATTAAATTACTTTCACTAAAGCTAACATTGAATATATTTTGATAATATATTTGTTTTGTTCAAAATACTACTATATTTTTTCAATAAATTTGATTAAATTTAATTAGGAAAAAAGTTAAACACCTTATTATATGAAACGGATCGGAGGCAGTAGTATCCAACTGTATAATTTTGGTCAGTTCAATTTAAACCAACCAACATAAAGAGGGATGTATAAAATATAAGACCAACCATTTTTGACAATTTAGGCCTTTTAATAAACTTATTATATAATAACTAGATGGTGACAAAAACTATAGCTGAAAATAGACTGCTACTTTAACGCCATGAGCCTTGGCACTAAGGCCCAATATCTCAGCGCCAGGCCATAAGCTAGCGCTAACACCCGTTGTACATCTATAAAAATGGGGAATAAGATCACTTTGACTCCCCCAACTGACCACCGAATCTAAATCATATCCCTCAACTTCAATACCAGAAATCTTGACCCCTGAACTTACAAAACCGGTACAATTTGACTCCCTTGGTGGTTTTGGAGAGCGGTTTTGCTGACATGGCGTACACGTGGCAGTGTTGACTTGGTCTTCTTTCCACGTGACATTGACGTGGCGCTTATGTGACATTAAAATTAAAAAATATAAGCGGAGCCCATTTGTCATTTACACAAAAAAAATTATGGGCACCACTGACATGTGGGTCCCACATGTCATCCTCTCTCTCACTACCCTTCTTCCTCCTCTCCCCCATATTTCTCTCTCTCCCCTTGACATGAGCCGGCGGCAGGCGGGGGCTCGAGCGGCGGCGGCGGCGGCGGGCGGGTGCCTGAGTGGTGGCGGCGGCGGGTGGTGGGAGCTGAGCAGCAAGGAGAATACCGTGTACGATGCGGACACCGCCTTGCCTTCCTCCCCCGCGCACCGATCGGTGCCTGAGCTGGGGGGGGGGGCGGACGCCGCGAGGGAACGTGGGAGCCAGCGAGGCGGAGGCGGCGGTGGCTCAGGGGGGTCGTCGTCGTAGGAGAACACTGGGAACACCAGAGGATCGGCGATGCTCAGGGACATGATGACGTGGAAGAAGGAGGAGCCCGAGAAGGAGGAGGCGGCGCACCGCGCGCGAATGCTCACCGCGCGTCTATTCCAGTGGCGCTTTGCCAACGCCCGCATGGAGAAGGCCATGGCCCGCGCCGCCATCACCGCCGAGGTGAGTGTTGGTATTTCTTAACGACATTACTAGAAATATAATTCCCAGCAATGGCGCAGAAATACTTCTGGTATGATATGGTTACAGAGTTCATCCACAAAGCGCATGGATATACCATTGTAGCATTTCACCCGAGAGTATTCCAAGGGTATCATATTTATTTTATCCCGTGGGAAGATCATGTAGAGAGAACTCAACTAATAACTACTCATCCTCATAATATATCATCTAAGCTAAGTGGAAAGAAAAGAGAAATATAAAGTATTAGTTCAAGTAATCTCTATTATGAATCTTCCCCGCAATGGCGGTAGAAATGCTTGTTGGTATTTCTTAACGACATTACTAGAAATATAATTCCCAGCAATGGCGTAGAAATACTTCTGGTATATTATGGTTACAGAGTTCATCCGCAAGCGCACAAATATACCATTGTAGCATTTCACCCGAGAGTATTCCAAGGGTATTTGTCGACGTTTGATGTCGCGATTCCGGTATTTGCATAGTATGGGGATCATTGGTAGTAGGATATACATGAGACTGAGGTAAAAGAGATGGAGACAGAGATTTTTATACAGGTTCGGTCCCCTGAATTGTCAGGTAATAACCCTACATCTTGTTGGCCGAAGCCAATATTGCTCTTATTCACCATAATCACACCAATACAATATTTGGGGCAGCCTATCTAACTGTGGTCGACATGGCGGTCTGAAGGTCTGACTCATAGTCGACAACAGGGTAGTCTTCCTCCTCGAGTTCGTGCCCGGCGAGATCAGAGACAGCGCTAGATCCCTATGGCCGGCTTCTGTAGGTACCGGATAGTGTCGATCCAGGCGTATCTCTGATGTCGATATCCGGCGGCTTGTCTTGGCGTATGTTGGCTTGTATGTTGATTGTTTCGTCTATGGTGGGTGTCTCTCCCCTCTCCTCCTAGGGGGCCTTGTATTTATACCCATAGGTGTCCCCTTGTCCAAGTAGAACTAGGGAAACCAATATGGATACAATCCGAGTAGTCCTTGTCGTTTCCATGTAGAACTCTGGTTGTCTTTCCTTATCCGGAACTCCATCCATATCCGAAGGTTGTTTCCGTATAAGACATGGTATGTGGTGGATCATGCCGAGATTTAGTCAACTACTATTAGGTATGTGGTATCCATAACCCTGACAGTATCGTATTTATTTTATCCCGTGGAAGGATCATGTAGAGAGAACTCAACTAATAATTTATATATTACTTGTGATAATCATATTCTAAGCAGGGGTTAAGATAATCCAACGGTAGAGTGACACACAAGCATTTAACTACTCATCCTCATAATATATCATCTAAGCTAAGTGGAAAGAAAAGAGAAAGGAAATCTATTCCTATACTTTTAGTATACATAGTATACATACATTCTAGTTAACTAATATACTAGCTAATACCCTCTATCCGATGCCCTCCTAGTACTTCGAGAAGCCACCCCTGACTGCCGAGTTCATTACGACAGCCCGTCATGACTATACAACCGGGGCTAAATACGGAGGAATACCCTCCCAGGAAATTAACTTAGATTTATATATAGGCGCGGAGGAATACCCGTACTGAGCTGTCACCATCAGCGGCCCACCTCTCATGCGCAATATATAACCCCAAATAATGATATCCCGTAATCTAGACACCACGTCTAAACTACCAGATACTACTCTAATATCATCGTCATGGCATAGAGTAATTGCATATGCAAGCATTATACCCGCACCAAAGCATCTCCCAGATAAGCTAGCTATATATTCAGTATAATATGAACATAATGTAAAGTAGGTACTCATATACTCGGAAAGTATTTCAATACCATAAATGTATATAGAAGAGTATTCTAATAAAAGTACAAAGCTTACAAAAGAGAAGAGAAAAGCTACTAGAGCCATACCTGAACTCTTCCGAAGGCTTCCAGACTCCTCACTCCTATTCTAATTCTATTCCACCAGCTAAATACTACTACACTAAACTTGAGAGAAATGAGAGAGCTATTGCTTGAGGTGTGTGTTGAAGTGAAGAGAGTGAGCTCCTTATATAGAGGTAGTTATGATGGTTGTGGAAGGGAAATTGTCCAAAGTACCCTTCAACCGTCATTTGGATACAATCCTGGACATCCATGCCAAAACCTGGATCCAACGGCGCCAGGATTGGTTCGGCCAAACCACCAGGTTCGGCCGAACCTGGGGCTGGCCCAATCCAGCCCAATTTTGGCTGGTGGCCTCCTCTATTGCTCCACTCCGTAGACTTGTGAATTTTGGCCCAATTCATCGTGTCAATTCTGAGTTCTTGGCCTATTCACACACAAGTCTGGTTCTCGACATCGTCTGATTGATTTATCGTCTGAGTTGATGTCGATTCTCCTCTACTTTATGATCATTCTCTGCAAAAGGTTAGTAAACCTAACACTAGTGGAATATTATTATTCTAACAAACATATGCATTGCAAGCATCACTAGTTCTCTCCTATTTCAGCAATATTGACGGTCGAAACTGATCGATAACGACCGTCAACAAAACCCCCCAAGCTTGAACCTTTGCTCGTCCCGAGTGAAGGACGAAAGGAAACAAAGACTTGGTTGTTGATTAGGAGTTGCTACTATGCTGCATATCTCAAAGATACAGGTGCAAGGTATATGTACTATCTCTTAGATTAAATAATTTTTGGCACGGTGTCTTACCCTTACCCCTGATTCCCACGAGACACTGCTTCTCCTTGCCTTGGGCGGTTGAAAGACAGAACAACAATTAGAGCACCAATCACCCGATCTTTATTCAACTCTTATTCCGGAAGTTTTCAAATGATTTTGAAAAAGAAAGCCAAGTTCCTCAAATGATTCACTCAGTCTCTCTAAGTGTATCAATTTGAATTTCTCACCAAATGATGCATTTTTTATTCCTAATCTAAGGTTTTGATATGTGGGGCTCGGTAGGGATCAAACATGGCATACTTGCGTTCACATTTATTACTAAGTCAAAATCTTAGACTAAAGCAGATAACTAAACATACTCAAGATCAAGATCATGCATAATGTGTGTGTGGTATATAGTGGAAATGATATATGAGGATAAAAGAAAAATGCTTCTCCTTTGTGCTTACTTTCTTCTCCCAAAAAAAAATCCTTCTTTTATTGATTAGGAGAGGGCATGGCTACATTTTTTTTTCAACATCATGCTCATGCTTATATATATATATATATATATCAAAACCATGCTTTTCCCTCCTTTCTTTTTTTTTCAAAAGGATTTTTTTCTTTTTAG